TCTTTCCCTTCCCATGCATTTGTCAGCCCCAGTCAGCGTCGAATGTAGGGCACGCTGACAAAGCGTTTCTTCGGTGGCTGTGATGGAGCTCACGTAGGTGGTGTGGAAACCTAGCATTGTGTGTGCGTCTATTTGCAGTACTACTTTGTGGCAAATGCAAAGTGAAAAAAAAAAAAGGCCTGTATTTCAAGTCTCTGACTGGTGCAAGATGTCCCAGATGTTACCCTTCACTGCATTCCTGGAAGGAGTAAGACATGCCTCATGTCTGTGGCCTCTCGCAGTCATTTGTGAAGTCTCATTTATGAATACAACAGAAAATACAGAGATGAGAAAGGTGCAGAGGTCAAGGTGGGGGAGAGGCACATAACAGCAACTTAGCTTGCTACTGGATGCTAAACTGTTCCCAGGGGCGGCAGACGACAGGACAAGGAGCAATGGGCTCAAGTTGCAGCAAGGGAAGTTGATGTTGGATATTAGGAAAAACTTTGGGTGAAACTCTGGAATGGGTCACCCAGAGAGGTGGTGGCATCTCCATCCTTGGAGGTTTTTCAGTCTGGCTCAACAAAGCCTTCGCTGGGATGATGTAGTTGGGGCTGGTCCTGCTTAGAGAAGGGGCTTGGACTAGATGTGACCTCCTGAGCTCCCATCCAATCCTCATTTTCTGTGATTAAATGATTCTATGGATGCGTTGTTCTTGGAAAGAAGTTAGGGGCAGATTTTCAAAATCACTCGTGGGATTCTGGTGGGAAAGTCCCATGAGCAATAAATAAGATTCCTGCTCCTAAATCCCTCAGGCACTTTAAAAAAATTCCCCTTTATCCAGAAACTAATGAGCCTACAAGGCAGGTCTACATTAAGAAGCTTCCATAAGAAAACTCCTAAGCTAGAATGCAAACTTTTTGGATGAGAAACAAAGGTTGATTTTCCAAGAAGCAAAAAAAAAATCCCAGTTTTCAAGCAGCTGTAGGTGTAGAGATGAAGGTCCCACCATCAGACCAGTAGTGGGGAAATGCAGGTTGAATTCCCTGCAGTACCATAAACTTTCTAAATGACCCTGGCAATTGGCTTAGCCCAGATTTCAATGAGAGTTGGGTGCTTAAATTGGAGTTAGGTGCCTAACCCTTGTTGGGATCTGGATCACAGGGTGTAGACATGACACCATTTTGCTTCAAAACAATTTGCCATAGATTGTACCATGGTAAACAGACTCTGAAGGAAGGAGCAGGCACACATGACCAGCCAAGACATGATTATTACATCACTAGCCCGCTAGGTGACGCAGGAGCCAGCCTGGATGGAGCTGAGTGCTGCGTCAGGATGAAACTGGGTGAGCGAGCAAAGTCACTTACGTACTACATATTTTTCAAAGGGAAAATTTACCCTTAAAGTTACCCCTCTGAAACTGGCTCTGAAAGTTATTTCAGAGTAAGGTGGTGGGTAGTATGTCTGCTCCACATTGACTGTGTAGCCTCGTGATTCTCAACTATTTCAATCTTAGGGCACCCCTCAGAAAATGCCAGCTCTTAGTTTTCACTTTTTTTTTTTGCCGATAGAAAAATAATAGAGGAGCTTTTTTCTGTTGCAAAAAACTCAAAAAGGCCATAACTATGGATTTCAGTTGGAAATCTCTGGTTTTATCTGGTGAATCATGTTTGCAAAGCTAACATTGCATAGCACCCCATGATACCCTGGAAAAGATCTCACGGCACCCCGGGTGCCCCAGTACCCTGGTAGAGAATCACTGATGGAGGCCAAAGGTAGGACCGGGTGGCACCTTAGACACTAACTCATTCAGAGGCTTGCAGTTCCATAGGCGACAGTCTGCTTCATCAGATTTGATTAAGTCAATTTACTATACATGTACTATGTGTCCACAGGAGTTTCACTTTGCTTCTGCTCCCCATCTGTGAAGTAAGGATTGTAGCACATCCTTTATATCAGTGGTATCCATTCTGGATTGAGAGGAGCTCAGGTAGGAATGGGGGCTCATGTAGATACCTCAGACATGAGCTAGGGACAGAAATTACATGTAAAACAGTGTAAGCAATCAGAAACCGGTTCACATCTCGAACACAACACAAGTTCAGTGCACATAAACCACTTTCAAAATGGCTGAAAGCAGTTTAAGATAAACCTGGATGGATGTAGTAGCAGACTTAACTGATTTAAGTTAAATCACTTAATTGAACTTCTGTCCCAGATCCCCTCCAGATTCAAGTTAACTGATAGTCCCCCAGCATCCCAGGATGCTTTGCACCTCCCCTGCAACTCCCCCTCCCCTTTGCAGAGTGGGCAGGCTAGCCTTGGCCCAAGCTGTCTACTCCAGCTGATGAGCAGGGAGGCATGCTCTAGCGCCCCCGCAGGTTCTGGCCTAGGCCATTGAAGGCACATGGCTGCTTTCCCAGAATCAAAAGTGAATGTCTGTTCACTTGCTTATCAGTTCAATCTACGCAGTTTAGAGGAACCTGTGAAGATTGAATCGATTCAGCCTCAGGCTGTTTGGCTATCTGTACTTAGCCTCAAGGTTCAGTTCTTCTACTTATCACTTCTGGGACAGATAGGTCTCCAGTAGAGCTAGGGAGAACCAATTAAAGTAACACTGGCTGAAAATAGCTTCTGAAGGCACGGTATCATCTGTGTTCAAGCCCTTTCTCCTTCCTAGCTCCTAACATCAGTAGTCTCACTGATAACCAAGGATCAGATTTTCCATTCACCACAGAAAAACACAATAAAACCTGGATTTTCTCATTTTAAGGGGGAAAACCCAGATTTTGCTCCTTTAAAGGAGAAAAACATGGGAAACAGTGGGCTTCCCCATGCAATCTGGCAGAGTTTCAGTCTGCAAGGGGATGGGGGGAGCAGGAGGAGAGCGGTCAGGCAGGGGCACCATGTACATGTGCACATGTACACATGCACATGACTTCCAGGCAGCCTGGAGAGCAGCTCCTGCAGGTAAGTCGGGGGGAGAAGAGGGAGAGGGTTTGGAATTGAGGCCCCCCATAGTAAGGAAGGGAGTTGGGCATGGCTGGGGCTACGGCTGGGGCTGCTGCTGCTGCTCAGCCTGGGCAGTCGGTGCGTGGGGCTTGAGGCCAAGGACCAGAATGTGCAGCTGCAGGGCCCAGGCAAAGAGTGGAATGGGGCAGTGGGTGTCTTGTCCAGGGGGTGATGTGAGGGCTCGCTCCCCACCACTGTGTACACTCCTGGAGGGACATGGGGAGCACATGCCCCCTAGATTTGTGTGCAGCGCAGAAGCAGATGTGGGCTGCCCACTGTGGGCTCAGGCTCCCTGCCCTGCTGCCCTCTGCCCGGGGTCTCCATTGCCCATGATTGGAACTCAACACAGCAGTGCAGAGTGGGATGG